TCTCTCTCTCTCTCTCTCTCTCTCTCTCTCTCTCTCTCTCTCTCTCTCTTCCTCTCTCTTAGTGGTTAGATCGTGGCCTAAGGGGTTGGCGAACTACTCGGGGTTGAGGGTTGCAGGTGGTGTGCCAGTCGGGAGTTGGAGAGCCGGAGAGAGGCAACTCGTCGTGGTCGGCGGGACGAGGACGCAAGAGGGCTGTCGTAGACACGCTGGCTCTTGAGACGCGCGCTCGTTAATTTACAGGATTTTCTAAGTCGTTAATAAGCCCATAATTACGAATTTTTATAAGTTGCAAACCGAAAGGCCGCTGGAGGACGGAGGGGAGCGAGCCAAGGGGCGAAGAAGCAGTGGGTGGGCTAGACAGTCGGAGGACTGTGAAAAATGGAAAAGTTTGCAAAAATGTCGCACCTCTGGTAGTATTTTAATTGCTGCTTCCCCCACCCCTCCCCCCGATTACCATTATCACGGACAGCCACTGCCACCGATGCACCTCGTTTTCGCGACATCGATACCGTCTACCGTCTCATTCGGACGATCGCGATCGCAGCCTTTCGATTTTTAATTAACGCGTCATCGATAGTTTTCCAAAGGTATCCGCGAAAGGTCCTATATACCGTTTGCGAATTCTACGCGAAAGTACACCGATATATTCGTCTATTCTACGTCTACGGAAAGAATAGCTAGAGTACGCAGTAATACAGCTGTATACGCGTACACACTGGCTCTTTGTGTTTAAAACAAAAGCAGAAACGACTTCCGTACGTCGCTTTCGATCACGTTTTTTTAATCGGCGCGAGGACGAATCCGTTTCACCGCCTCGAAGGCGTAAACCAGTTCTTCGGTAGGTCGGTGCGTAACGTAATTTCGATCGAGAATACTTTCTCCGTCCGAAATTTCGTCGATTTAAATAAGCGGAACTTGCAGCCTCTGACGACTCGAGAATTCGTAACGGGCTACGTTTCCTTTTGAAAAGCTAAACGAGCTTCGGCGAAATTTCATCCGCTCCGTTCGAAGAGGAGGCAATTTACGAATTTCACAGAGATCTCGACGTCGACGAAGAACCGTTGCCGTCTAGTCGCGAGATGGACACGGCCGAGTCGGACTTTGACGAGAAAGTCGATCCCTTAAGCCCTTATCTAAAATTAAATCGGTAGTCGCGGCAGCCCGTAGTAAGGAGACACCGAGTAAATCGTAACGGGGAATTCACGAGAGTACAGGACAGGAAGAACGTCATAAGAGAAGAATGGCCGGCATCGTCCATGAGACAACATTCATTATATTCCCTTCAACAATGGCCGATTATTACGATAAACCCTCCTCTTCCTACGTAACCGGCTTTTCCCCTTTTACTCATCAAATTGGATTAGTTGTCGAGCTTCTGTACCACCGTCGTGCGCCGCGCCATGTCTCCGCTACCATTTTTCCTCGGGTTCGAACCGTGAACAAAAATTTACTTCGTTCGTTTCTCCTCGTTCTCTAGCACGTAAGTTTAAACCTTAAAAAACATCGAGCTTTAGCGATTTGAACGTAATCGAGCTAGTACACGACGACCGTTACCGTCCACGACGAGGCTGAAAACGATCGGCGTGGCGTGTGGTTAGTCTCGAACGCTAGCTTTCGACATTCGGACGTGGCTCGTATCGAAATGGAAAATCATAGCGACAGAAGGGGACGCGTTTATCGCGCGAACGCTTTCAACGTTTGCATACCACTCGTAAAAAGTCGCGTGACCAATTGTCCGTTTTCCGCCATCAGCTCTCTCGATCCCCAAAATAAACGGTGTCCAGTTACCCCGTCGAGCGTCGAGGAGGGTGAACGCGTTAGGGAAATTTCTATTTTTGTCACGTTCGTCGAATGTTTGCAATCGACTACGGGGAAAGGCAGCGTGTTTCACGCGGCTCCGTAATTTCCAATGGATTAGCTCGGTTATTGGTTCGAGGATACGGCGATCGGTTTTGCCGTTCTACAGCGTGGACGTATGGTCGTAATCGTAGTCGTGTCAAAAACAAGGAAAAATCGTTCGCATTCGATTAGTCGGGCCGTAATTTCGTCGATGGCTTTCCGTTATATCGTATTTCCCACGTTAGAATCCTATTAACCGTAACAAAATCATCGAATTTTCTCGACTCGACGTGGAGCGTGCTAATCGGTCCGCAACGGTTCGA